CTCTCTCTCTCTCTCTCTCTCTCTCTCTCTCTCTCTCTCTCTCTCTCTCTCTCTCTCTCTCTCTCTCTCGGAAACAATCGGTTGACAGTTTTTGGTTACATCGTTGAGCTTCTCACTGAAGACGTCGGTGCTTGAATTGTGGAGTTATAACTTATAAGCTGTCTTTCGGGGCATCCGTTAAAATTGGAACGATACAGAGAATGAATAGTAATTAGCTTGGCCCCTGTGCAAGGATGACACGCACAAATCGAGTCATTAGCTGCGCGGTTACTTTCGAGATCGTAAATTAAGTCAGTGAGGCGAACTACCGATCGATTCGGCTTTCTCTCTGTTTTTTTTGGTTCTTGTCTGTTGCACGGAGTAACCCCTTACACTATATCCGTCGATTAAATCTTTTATTTGTTGTTGAAGGGAGTAGCTCTTTGCACTAAATACACATTGATTTGTCAGCATCTCTAAACACGCGCAGGTTCAACTCCCAAATTTGTAATCGATAGTTACGCGTAGCATTCAGCTTTGCCACGTGAAGCAACTGAGGTTTATATTATTCGGCGATTTTTGAAAATTTTTATTACGATTATTATAAGTAATATTGAAAGAATTTTTCAGCTTTGACGTCGAGTACCGAGTTTGCAGGGGCTGTCCCACTTGGTTTTGCGTGTCGACCTTACAGGGGCCATGCGAAGCTTCTTTGATCGTTCCATTTTTAACGGGTGTCCCGATGGACTTTTTTTTCGTGTTCGTAGACCGATGCAGTCATCTTATCTGAATCACATATGTACCGTTGGGGGATTCGCATGCAAAGGCTTGCCTAGATGCATGGGGACAGTGCGTACGTCCAGGTTTTATGTACCGTTGGGGGATTCGCACGCAAAGGCTGGCGTGGATGCATGGGGACTGCGTACGTCCAGTTAGTAAGACTCGCAGGGTGACTATGGCCTCTCGGCAGGTAGTAAGGCGATTCGCACGCAAAGGCTTGCCTGGATGCATGGGGACTGCGTACGTCCAGGTTTTATGTACAGTTGGGGGATTCGCACGCAAAGGCTTGCGTGGATGCATGGGGACGGTGGTACGTCCAGGTTGTTAGTAAGACTCGCAGGGTGACTATGGCCTTTCGGCAGGTAGTAAGGTGCGGCCCTGCCGCTTGTTCTCGTAGTCGGTCATCTGTTGACGTAATTTTTCTTTTTTTAAATGTAAAAAAGGGCGTCAGCCTTGAGATATCGTCGTCATTTGAATTTTGAGAAAAATATATATATATCGTCCTCCTCATTGAACTGACTGGCCCCAGGTAACTCGATTGTTTTATGTCATATATCGTTCTCGTCATTGAGCTGACTGGCCCCAGGTAACTCAGAATTATTTTATGTCATTCATCTGGAATCGAACGTGGACCTGTATTCAATAGGTCGTTGGTGTACCATCTGAGCTAGGCTTTTATTCGTTGGACTTTTGGAGCGAAGAGATCTTGCCTGGAAATGTGATTTGGCGCACCACGGATCAGATGCTATACTAATCGGCACAGATACTACACTTCTATCTTAGCCAATAGGCCGAAAAAGTGGTAGTGGTCATACTTGTTTGGATGGCACTCGTATATGATGATGATATGGATTATCGACGGCCAGAGATGCAGGAACGCAGCATCCGAGGTCCTGGGACGAAGTCGCACTTACCAAGATTCTTTTTTCTCTTCTCACCCCCCCCTTTTTTCCCCCTTTGAAGTTTCCCTTTTTTTAAAATTCTTTGTTTTTTTCCTTCTTTTCTTTTGTTGCGTCAAGTTCTGACCGTAGAAATGAGGAGTTTCAGATTTGAAGGAGTCGGTCAAAGTCGCCCATGAAAAGGCACTCGTCACGAGCGCGAAATTTCGAGTAGTGTTTTTTTTTTTTTTTTTTCCCCGTAACGTCCATGGCAGAAGACTGCCCGTCAGGCTGTAAGAGCGCCTGGTGGGTTGGAGTCTGCACTGTTTGATGCCTCCAAATCTATCGGTGGGGAGCTGCACCTGTTGGAAAGCGGGAATGTCCCAACCACAAATATTTGTATCCGTAGTTTCAGATTTTACTACCGTCTTCCCCCGAACACAACGCACCCTCATTTTGGTTTATCTGGCCCCACATATATCTTGTATACATTCATTTTTAGGGTGCGTTATGTTCGGGGGAAGACGGTAGCCCGAAATTTCGCTTCTGTCTTCACCCGAATAGCACGCCCAGTCATTATGTTTGTATATCGACAGGAAGGTGGCCCAAATACAGCTATAATGACTGGTCGTTATATGTATCTCGGCAGGAAGGTGGCCCAAATACAGTTATAATGACTGGGCGTTATATTAGGGTGGAGATGGCAACAGCAATTGGGTTCGCTCAACTACTCACCGCGTGCGCAAACGACAAAAATTATGGTGGTGTATCTGAGCATGTGCGAAATTTGAGACTCCTCTAAATTTCGGGCTCTCGTTTGTGTCTCTTGATTAGCAAGTAGTCTCGGTGATGGGGCTTCAAATTTGACTTGGAACTCTGCAGGCAGATTCGTCATGTCGACGGCTGACACTCAAGTAGCTCACTTTTTTTTTTTTTTTTTTTTTTTTTTTGGGGAAACGACTTGGAACTCTGCAGGCAGAAATCGTCTGAAGAATTTTAGCCCACGTTTTTTTTTTTTTTTTGGGAAACCACTTCGATTACAGTCGAAGTTGATGATAGTCCTTGAATCTTTTATGTTTGGATTAAGATGCCACAGTGCGATGTCCAAGAGTGCCATCTGGCTGGTCTGGGCGCTTAGAGCTATTTTTAGACGAGTTGTAGGAGAGAGAGACACTGATTTATATGTGTTTACGAAGTACAGGAGAATGTGATGATGTATATGTTAATGTTTCTATTTTGGCGTTTGTGATGATGCATACGCTGATGTTGTTATTATTATTATTATTATTTTGTTACGCTGATGTTTGTATAGCTATACTCGAGAATATATAAATCAACAGTACTTCCTAAAGTCGTACGGCCGATAGCTGGGCCAAAGTACTGGGGCTTTAATGGAAAGTCAGTGCACTGCAAGAAATATCATCTTCGGCTAGGCTACCAGAGTGCCCCGGGACCACTAGCCCGGCCGGGCCAATATATTATATTAATTTAATTTTATTTGTTTTAAATTTGGTAAGGAAGTTCGATGCGACCCTGAGGCGAAAGTTGTTCAGTTTATTTTTCTGCATAAGATAGTTTTTTTTTTCCTCCCAGTCGGAATAAGGTAGGTTTTTTTTTTACCCCCCAGTCGGAATACAAAATTCAAAAGTGGCACTTTGAAGTCGTACCTTCCCTCAGCTGACTTACGTTCGTATACATAATACATGATGTGCGTGGTTGAATCATCGTACACCTTTGTCATTGGCTATCTGGTGGGTCGATGATGGGTTAAGTATTTTTAGTTTCTTTTTGTTTGATGAAGGATCACTTAATTCGCCCTGAATCATCGTACACCTTGTCATTGGCTATCTGGTGGGTCGATTATGGAATTTATGGGTCTGTGTTTTTTTTTTTTTTTTTTTTTTTTCTGTGTGTTTGACGAAGGATCAATTAATTCACCAGGACGAGAAGGGGTCTTGGATTACTTAATTCGCCCTGAATCATCGTACACCTTGTCATTGGCTATCTGGTGGGTCGATTATGGAATATATGGGTCTTTTTTTTTTTTTTTTTTTGTGTGTGTTTGACGGAGGATCAATTAATTCACCAGGACGAGAAGTTGTCTTCTGATGGGTTATGGTGGGTGTTTGTGATGGTGTTTGTGGATGACAGAGATCTCGGAATGACTAGGTTCACCTTTGTCACTGGCTATCTGGTGGTCGATTATGGGTCAAATTTTTGTTTTTTTTGTTTTGTTTGACGAAGGATCAATTAATTCACGAGTGCGAAAAGGGGTCTTATGATGGGTTATGATGGGTGTTTGTGATGGTGTTTGTGGATGACAGTGATCTCGGAATGCCCGGGAACTTTTTTTGTTTTTTTTTTTGTGACGAAGGATCAATTAACTCACCAGGGCGAAATGGATGACAGAGATCTCGGAATGCGGGTGAAACTTTTTTTTTTTTTTTTTTTGGACGAAGGATCACCTTTGTCACTGACTATCTGGTGGGTCGATTATGGGTCAGTTTTTTGTTTTTTTTTGTTTTTGACGAACGATCAATTAATTCACCAGTGCGAAAGGGGTCTTATGATGGGTTATGATGGGTGTTTGTGATGGTGTTTGTGGATGACAGAGATCTCGGAATGCAGGTGAACTGTTGTGTTTTTTTTTCTGTTTGACGAAGGATCACCTTTGTCACTGGCTATCTGGTGGTCGATTATGGGTCAATTTTTTTGTTTTTTTGTTTTGTTAGAAGGATCAATTAATGTTTTTTGGTTTTGTTTGACGAAGGATCAATTAATTCACGAGTGCGAAAAGGGGTCTTATGATGGTTTACGATGGGTGTTTGTGATGGTGTTTGTGGATGACATAGATCTGGGAATGCAGGTCAACTTTTTTTGTTTTTTTTTTTTGTTTGACGAAGGATCAATTAGTTCACCAGGGCGAAATGGATGACAGAGATCTCGGAATGCGGGTGAACTTTTTTTCTTTTTTCTTTTTTTGACGAAGGTTTACCTTTGTCACTGGCTATCTTGTGGTGATTATGGGTCAATTTTATTTATTTATTTTTTTGACGAAAGATCAATTAATTCAGCAGTGCGAAAAGGGGTCTTACGATGGGTTATGATGGGTGTTTGTGATGGTGTTTGTGGATGACAGAGATCTCGGAATGCAGGTGCAGTTCTTTTGTTTTTTTTGTTTGACGAAAAATCAATTAATTCACCAGGGCGAAAAGGGGTCTTATGATGGGTGTTTGTGATGGTGTTTGTGGATGACAGAGATCTCGGAAAGGGAATATTTGTTTTTGTTTGTTTGTTTGTTTGACGAAGGATCAATTAATTCACCAGGGCGAAAAGGGGTCTTATGATGGGTGTTTGTGATGGTGTTTGTGGATGACAGAGATCTCGGAATGCAGGTGAATATATTTGTTTTTTGTTTGTTTGTTTGTTTGTCTGTCTGTTTGACGAAGGATCAATTAATTCACCAGGGCGAAAAGGGGTCTTATGATGGGTGTTTGTGATGGTGTTTGTGATGGTGTTTGTGGATGACAGAGATCTCGGAATGCGGGTGACTATTTTTGTTTTTTGTTTTTGTTTGTGTTTGTTTGTTTGACGAAGGATCAATTAATTCACCAGTGCGGAAAGGGGTCTTACACCCAAGAGCCTAGCTCAGTGGGTAAACCGATGATCTGTTGAAACACAGGCCTGTGTTCGAATCCAGATGATGGAACTTGACAAGTAAAACCGACTACTAATGAATTGCTTGAGGCCGCTCAGTTCAATGGTAATATCTCAAGGCTGCGTCCTTTAAGAAAAAGGGAAAAAAAGCGGTCTTATGATGGGTGTTTGTGATTGGTGTTTGTGGATGACAGAGATCTCGGAATGCAGGTGATGAGAGCAAATGTGGACACGGTGGGATCGAAAGCGCAGAACGTATTTTATGTTCTGAACTCGACGGGACAAAAGCTCACAGACGATGAGCGAGGGTCCTTACGAAAGCCATTAGAGGCATATGCCTCAGCTGTGTGGGAGGAGGGGAAGCCGACACCTGCAGTCAGGTCGGTGGTCCCTCTAGTGGAACAGGAAAAGATGTCACCGGAAAATCAAGTGAGGCATCGGCTGATGGAGATTCGGATTCGCAATGATGTTCTCTCGGTCGAAGAGAGCATTGTGAATCATGTCGAAAGAACCGTAGCTGGGAATCGGTACGACTTTGACACTACAGAAGCCTATCACGTAAGTACCCCGCATTGCACCCTGATCATTTCTGCTCCACAGGCTCCGCATCCGTTTTTTTTTTTTTTTTTTTTTTCCCTTGTGTGTGTGTGTGTTTTAGAAAAGTCTTTTATCCACAAATCGTCACAAACAATCCGTAAGACAAAAGAAAGAACATATAGGCAAGATAGTAGAAGATCCAAGGTTGGCCACGTTTTGTGTGGTTAAGCGCGAAGTGCCGAGATACTTGTCTGCTGCCGAAGCTGCGCACTTGCAAAAATATAGCAGTGTCTACAGATGGATGGATGGTTTAAGGCAAAATACTGAACGAACAACACGCGTGTATGTGTGTGTGTGTGTGTTGTCATGCTATACACAACTCCACAGAAAGGCATGGCTGTGATCGTATTCCGCAATGATATTGTTCTCTCATTGGGGGAGAGCGTTGTGAATCATGTTGAAAGAACTTTTAGTGGAAATTGCCACGACTTTGACACAATGGAACCCTATTACGTAAGACCACCTGCATTGCACATTGATTATTTCTGGCCCACTGACTCAGGAGGTTGAACCCTGACAGTCTGCACAGGACGCATTGTGTGCGTTGGCATTTGGGTGGGTGTGTATGTGGGTTGGTTTCAACTTTCAACATTTCATGTTGGACTTTCAACCAACCCATCAGGAGGTTGAACCCTGACAGTCTGCGCAGGATGCATTTGACTGATATGGATAAGGACTCACCACGTCACCCTTATTTAGCGATCTCTGAGAAATCAGAGAAATTGAGAGAAGTCGTTGACTTTTCTTGAAGTGGTACTTTTCTTGCACCAAGCCTGCCCTGCAGTCCTTGCAGACTGTGTTTAAATTGAACCCCTGATAAGAATGTCAGTAATTCTGAGATACTGTGTAGTCTGTCACAGCTGTAAACCCCATGCCAGTAAGTCTGAGAAACTCTATAGTCTGTCACAGGCATAAACCCCACTCTACACACCCACTCAGCCTGTGGAGGTGCGTGTGTCCTGCATGCGTCTGTGTTTTTTTTTCTTTTTTTTTTTTGGGTTAGTTTGAAACTTGTGTGGGTATGTTGTTGTCATACGGCAGTGCTGCAGCATGGCTGCTTCCGTGGGTGACGCCCCACTATGCAACACTCTGCATGCATTTTGGATGTGTGGGTATGTTGTTGTCATACGGTAGTGCTGCAGCACGGCTGCTTCCGTGGGTGACGCCCCACTATGCAACACTGCATGCATTTTGGACGATTTGCTGACCACGTACATGGGGACGCATCCAACATCTTGAATGTATCCGGTCCATAGAGCTTTCAAATGCATGTAGAGTATTGTGTAGTGGATCGAGGAGGTATGTTTTATTGACATTTAGGCTGTCTGAGGCGCTATGTTTTGTTGACATTTAGGCCATCTGAACTGATGTCCCGTTTGTCAACAGTTATGGCTGTGAACTAACCGTGACTTTCGGTCTTGATCACTACTATTAAATGAGAACGAATCTTCCACTTAAACATGGAAAGGTACATCGTGTTATTTTTGTATGTGTATATAGTGAGTAGTAAGTGAGGCTCTATGGCTTGGCGATAGAGTGGTAGCCAGGGACAGGTAAAGCTGTCACTACCCCAACAGAACATGAACTGAAAGCTAATAATTATTAGCAATTTCCAAAAAAAAAAAAAAAAACAGCAAAGGGCCTCGCTCCACAACTCACCACACGTCTGTGCATCTTTCCATGTTCTAGCGTAAGATTCGTTTTCATTTTGCACATTAGAGTGCACATTGGAGTTTAGTGGCGGAAAGCCCAAATTGGCAAATTATGGAATATATATATAATATATATTGTAAGGAAGAAGATTAAAAACGAATTTAAGATTTTTTTGTTTTTTTGGTTTTTTCGCTTAGGTGCTCTGATATCATGTGACAATATATTTTTATAAAAGGGCGATGGCCTTGAGGTATTGTCAGCGGACTAACCAGCCCAGGTAAACTCAAGATTGTGTCTAATCTGACATCGGGTGGCCTTGATTGCCTTCAGGGAACCCCCAACGGGGGACACCGGTCAGGGGACAGCCGGTAGCAGAGGGACCGAGCATCATCTGAGTGGCCAGTCGCTGTGCCTCCCTGATTACCCCTGCCCCCTATGAACATCAGCAGAGACTGCTTTTTAATGCCAATTGGGGGCACCAACAGGCTATCTCTAGATGGCGGGCGCCAAGCATGCCCAGGAAGGTACATGAGGCCAATGGGGATTGAACCCAAGACCTCCTGAATGCCACTTGCGTGCCTTACCAACTGAGCTAGGCCGGTGGAATATAGAAGTGACACTGGGCTGTCCTTCGGGACATCCGTTAAAATTTGGAACGATACAGAGAAGATTAGCATGGCCCTTGCGCAATATTGACACGCATAAATTGAGAAATGGTCCAAATTGAAAAAAAAAAGAAAAAGAAGTGATACTGGGCCCCGCTCCACTGCACAACATTCTAAATGCATCTGGAGCTGGAAACGATCCCCAACGCATTTTATACATGTCGAATGCCGAGTAGTGGAGCAAGGCCAAAAGAAGCGAAAGGCTGCCAATGGGTGGTAAATGGGATGGCATGCCACAAAGCTTTTTTTTTTTTTTTCCTCCCCACCAAACATTTTTAGCTACTGTAGTGCGGAGTACTACCGGTAGCGGAACTCATGGCGCACAGCAATCCATTTTTAGGGTCCACGGTTGCTATGTTGCTTTAGCAAGCACGAACCTGGCGACCTTGATGACCAGGTTCAGACTTTTTGAGCACGGGACTTCATACCAGGGAGCATTGGCCTTCGATACTGCAGTTGCCTCTGCACATGAAGTTTTAACCGTTCATGAAAAAGGTTAGGCGCAGAGGACCAGAGTTTAGTTGCAGGGGATGGGCCATGGGCATCAAATGTCTTAGGATACACTCACACGAGGACTTTCCTAGATGTATCCGACTGAAATTCCATGACATGATTAATGTGACCGTGATTACGTCCAGAGCTTAGACCAAAGAGGCTTGAGGTGAAGGCATGCTCATAGGTGAAGGTCAGAAATACTGTGCCCATATTTGAGAGGAGAAGTTATTTTCTTTTCTGTGCTGTGAACAGCCATTTCTTTCAGGAAGCTTGGTACACACACTGTTTCTGGAATAGTACGCATTACCTCTGAGTCTCTGACACTGTGTCCAGCAATCCGGTGAATAGGCAGAGATGTACTTCTTTGACAATGCACCTGCGCTGCTGCGCAAGGACTTACTGGTATATGGGGATGGGGATAGTACTTACGGCCTTGCCCCACTACTCACTACATGCACAAAAGACAAAAATGTGGCGGTGTATCTTTCCACGTTCTAGTAGGAGATTCATTCTCATTTTGCATATTTGGTGAGTAGTTGCATATTTGGTGAGTAGTTGCATATTTGGTGAGCAGTGGAGCGAGGCGCTTATTTTCCAAAATAAATTGCCCTAACTTAAATTAAAACTGTTTTAATAGATTCATCTCTGGTTCATGATCAAGGCAAAAGATCAGTAGGCATCTGATTCCAAAGGCGAGCATTGGGCCTCGCTCCACTACACAACATTGTACATGTATGTGGCCTGAAAATTGGACGAAATACATTTGCACTTGTCCCGCATTCGGAATGTAATAGGGATCAGTAACAGGTCCACATACATTTGGATCAGACACATCAATTTTGTTGAAGGCAATGCTTTCCATTTGCTAAATATGACTGCAGTTATCACCTGAGGGTGTGGCCACACCAGAACGAGTTAAATGTATGTGACCGGGGGTAAGACCGGATCTGGGTGTATCTGACCGAAATTATGTCTGGAGGTAAGTAAAAAAAGGGAGTTCTAGTGCGAGTATGCCCTCGGGGGCGTGGTCACATTAGCAATAAGTTAAATGTATCTGTATGTGACCTCAGGTAAGACGGGATCTGGATGTATCTGACCGAAATTATGTCTGGAATTAAGTACAAAAGGAAGTTCTAGTCTGAGGATGCCTGGATGTATCTGACCGAAATTATGTCTGGAGGTAAGTACAAAAGGAAGTTCTAGTCTGAGGATGCCCTCATGGGCGTGGTCACATTAGCAATAAGTGAAATGTATCTGTATGTGACCGCGGGTAAGATGGGATCTGGATGTATCTGACCGAAATTATGTCCGGAGGTAAGTAAAAAAGTAAGTTCTAGTGTGAGTATGCCCTCAGGGGCGTGGTCACAACAGCGATTAAGTAATGTATCTGACCACGGGTAAGATCGGATATGTATGTATCTGACCGAAATTATGTTTGGAGATAATCTTGTGCAGCAGTTGCGGACGCTAAGACTCGTTTTGAGTATATATTTACTCGTCCTGGGCCTGTGTAGTTGCGGAGGGGGTCGGCTTCTTGACCTACCTGTACCCACTCTTTCTTCTGTCTGAAGGTTGTTAGAGTGCTTAAAAAGGTTAATGGTGTTTGCTGAAGGTTGTTAGAGTAGAGCTCGGAAAAGTTTTAAGGGGCTTGATTGTGATACGAGATACGGTTTGGGTGGTGAAATGGCAGTGTGGGACTGTAAATATGGGTTTACTTTGCGAATTTGTGAAAAAAGTATTTGGGTGGTGAAATGGCAGTGTGGGACTGTAAATATGGGTTTACTTTGCGAATTTGTGAAAAAAGTATGTGCTCTTAAAAAGGTTGATGGGTAGGGGTGAATGCATGTGTGAAGTGGTTTCTAAGAATTTGAATCATTTATCTTTGAGGAATTTATTTCATTGATCCTTGTGCTGGTGGGGGGCGGGAAAAGGAGAGGGGAGGGGAGGAGAGGGTTGGTGGGAGGTGGGAAAAGGGATGGGAGGAGAGGTGAGGGAGGAGAGGGTTAGGAGAGGGTTTAACCATCTAGCCCTCTTTGAAGGAAACAGTGAAGAGGAGAATGGTCCACCCAAACGTTTTTTGGCCTTTTTGCTCAAAATAGATAGTGTAGTATCTGTTGGTTCTGTTCTAATCAGTTTAATATATGATTG